CAATAGTCTACAAATCTCGTGATCTCGTTTGTATCTGTCATAAAAGCGTAAACGGCCTGTTTCGGGTACCCGACAGGAGGCCCGTCGCGCGGCAAGAAGGCAGAGTCAGCGGACGAGTCAGCGCGTACTGTAGTGATTTCGCGTCAAGTTAAATAGAATGTACCATTGTACGTCCTACATCGCACAGCACGCGCTGCGACTCGTCCGCTGACTCTGCCTTCTTGCCGCGCGACGGGCCTCCTGTCGGCACCCCAAACAGGCCGTTCCCGCTTTTATGACAGATACAAACGAGATCACGAGATTTGTAGACTATTGACCACCCACTTGTCGTCGATCATTCCATGAGCATACTCAAAGTTAATCAGACTGTCAGTGCCATCATTGTCGGACACACATCCATTGCCAATTGCGAATCCCTGAAATCATAATTGTTCAGTGTAGTTTGGGGAACTGCACACTGATCTGTGGCATTCACTGCCGAATAGCATGATGAAAATTTTCCATGTGTGGTTCGATTGATGCTTTGGGGAGCATGAAAAAGCACGCATTGCATCGATTTTTTCAGAGCCACAAACAAGTGACAATGGAGAAGTAAGGACCTAGTCGTGTGATAAGTGAAATCGCAGATGAGTCTATAAGAAAGATAAACACTTTGCGATATCGCTTCATCTCGAGGTTGCGCCGCGAAGTTCACTGGCTTGTACAATGAGTTGCAGAAGCCAGCTATAGCGCAACTCACAATCAGCACCATGTATGATCGATACCAGTAGACTAGCCCAGTCAGAATCAAGAGCTACGTTGGTTAGGACGGCTTACGGCCCAGGTTCTGCTTCCGCGTGATTAGCGATGCGGTTCTTGGCGCTGCACCTCATCCTTCCATAAGATTTATACACGGAGGAGTAAGGACAATTCCCCTCCACATCCGAACGGAATTATCCCATCTTGCTAGATTCAGGCCGAATGCTGACCATCTAATAAACAGCGCGTTCCATTTTATGAGAAATTACTTCATAAAGGCATCTCACACGGAAAACATCAGAAGAGTCTGCATAGAAACGAGGTGCTCCGGTCGAGCTCAACGGGGTCCTTCACGAATTCGCGGACCATTACGCCGTTTTTGAAGCGCTGGTCGGGAGAGGAATCGCATAGTCAGAGTTAATATCTTCAGGAAATCATCCCAGTCCATATCGATTCCAATCCAAAGAACATTGTAGCAGCTTCAAGCTGGAGCAGGTTACTGTGGTCTCCTTGAACTCCAGGACGATGGCACATGACGTCCTATTCTGAAGATGTTAGGAGCAGCGGAGAAGGGCTTGCACCCACCTTGAAGGAAATATTAAGGGAACATTTTCATGTAGGTTTTTCATCAATGGCTAAAACTTCAACTTGTCGAAAAAATCGCTGAAGTGCGACATGGGTAAAATTTCTTTTCCCCTCCCCATTGTAGGGATTACATTGTGCGGACGATATTTGTATACATATCATCATCGATGTTGGCTAGCAGTTTGACTATAACCTAATCGAATGCAGCCTAAAGTAACCGAATTTCCTATTCTGCTAATCATGCTCTACCTCGGGAACCTGCATGAATTTTCCCACTCCACAAATTGATTTGCAAGTTTCATCCAAACTAATTCATTGTTAATATCATCCCCCCCCCAAAAGAACCTATAAGTCTCCCCTCCAGCCCGAAGAAACAGAACAAAAGAGATTGCTTACAGACTGATATCTTGACCGCTACACTTTACTGCGAGCATTGAAAAGATTGACGGAAGAGGGCCTACCTTAATGTTTATGCGGAGTTGTGCCTGCCTATCCAGGATCGTTTGTACCAAAGTGGGCACATAGACTCCTGTAAGCAAAGCAATATTCTGAAGCAAAGAAATTTCCTCAAACTATCGACATCAAAAAAAGCTAGGTCTGAAAAATAGGAAATTATAGAAAAAGAGTAGTTCAAAAACTTTAAACTACCTCCATAGGATTCTCCCGTCACGTAGAAGTCGTTCGTCTGATACTGTGGGAATTCTTTGAAGAATGCCGTCAAGGCTTCCCAATTTTCACTGGCTGTCTAAAACATAAAAACGTAATTATAGTATGTAGAGGCGAGAGCATGCGAAGGCACATTCAGGGGAGAACCCTTTGCCACGCTCTGCAGGAATATTTGCACCTCCTTAACCACAAATTTTATTCGACAGATTTTTTCTGGTTCTATTTTGGGTTTTTGGTTCAAATCGTTCGAAAAACAGATAAGGGAATTCAGAAGCGAATTCAACTGCGCTGTTTTTTTTTCCAAAAATTTGTGCTTGCTGCAATTACGAATTTAACGAAAGACGTTGTAGCAAGTTTTTAAGTAGTGGAAGCAAAGTAATTCAATACTTCTGTGCCACACCCTGTCTGGTATGGTGAAAACTTTATTCGCCCGACATTTCGACAAAATTATCGTTTTCAAAGGTCTGGAAGTGTCTAGAAAAGTTTTGAAAACTTGCCTATCCTCCTGACGCGACCCGAGTGTCACCGAGGCTAATAAACCATGGGATGGAACCCAAGGACGCGCTATTCACTTCAATTCCAAGAGCGCCAATGGGTCGCCCGTATCTATATATTTAGTTTGAAGACTCAGAGCAAAGTCCAAGATCATAGATATAATGGAGTCTCTAGACGTGATTCTATAGTGATTCGAGCGATAAACGGTCTTCGATGTTCCAAAGAAGCGGTGAATATCTTCTAGCAGCCAGTTTGCGACCGCTGCCTCGAAGGAGCCTACACCAGACTATAGCTTGTCGGATCCTTGGGAATTGGACACTAATTGGCTCCCAGGGAAGACTGTGTGGCTCTTCGACGCGCGCCACCTCTTCTGGTAACCAAGCAACTTCTCGGGAAGGTGGAACCTTAACGAGGAGTGAACCTTGAGCAGACGCAACATCGCTAAGCAATCCACATTTAGTAATCTGGAAGACTTGCGTACTCTTAGCGCCAGATAGCCAGATTTGCGGAACAGGAAAAATGATTGCTGTGCGCTTTGTCTGTCGTCTGTCGTCTGTCGTCTGTCGTCTGTATGTCTGTCACGAAATTCCCTAGCTCCTCGGGATCCGCCTGGAGGGACCGGGTCAAGTGTGGGATGGGTGGGCAAGGTCTCACGAAGTACAAAACACACATCTAAGCGGAGCCCCGCCCACAGTGGGCGTGGCGTGCATCGAAATGAGTTGTACTGACGACCAGATTTCAATTCTATACAAAACAGCCTCGAAACTGGGGAAAAAGTGGGTAAAGGTGTGCATTGGTAAGTCACATCGAATTAGGAGACCCACCCCCGGTGGGCGGGGCGTTCTCCAAAAAAGCAGTGCTTTATGAAAAATTTCATAACTCGGTTGGGAGAAAGCCTACAGAGCAGAAAAAATTGGTGTAGGGGAGCAATGTCTAAGGTGTTCCCAGCATACATGACGTGGGCGGAGGCCGCCCACAATGGGAGCGCGCTCTGAAGTGTACAGCATTTTCTACAAGTCCTCATAATTCGGGCCGGAGAAGTCTTAGTGAGCCGGAAAAAGGTGGATGGGAGGTGGGTGGAGGAGTGGAGGCCAACTGTCATCGGTGGGCGGGGCATGACCAAAGTGGGCGGAGTTTGCGACGAAAATTCATAACTCGGCTCCAAGAAGTCCCGGAGGCCGGAAAAGGTGGATAGAGGTGGGTGGAAGGAGTGGAGCCAAATAATTGGTGGGCGGAGCATGTCCAAAGTGGGCGGAGTTATCCACGAAAATTCATAACTCGGTTCCAAGAAGTCCTGGGAACGGGAAAAAGTGGATAGAGGTCAGAAAGAGAAGTTAACTGCTACGGGTGGGTGGAGCGTGCGCCAATGTGGGCGGAGTTTGCGCCGAAATTGTAATTCGGCTCCAAGAAGTCCAGGAGGCTGGGAAAAAGTGGATAGAGGTCAGCGAAGGAAAGGAAGTCAACTGCTAATGGTGGGCGGGGCATACACCAAGGTGGGCGGAGCGCGCACCAAAGTGGGCGGAGTTATCGACGAAAATTCATAACTCGGTTCCAAGAAGTCCGGAGACCGGGAAAAGGTGGATGGAGGTGGGTGGAGGAGTGGAGCCAGCATTGGTGGGCGGGGCATGACCAAAGTGGGCGGAGTTGCCACGAAAATTCATAACTCGGTTCCAAGAAGTCCAGGAGACCGGGAAAAAGGGGTAGAGGTCGGCGAAAGGAAAGGGAGGCCAAATGCTATTGGTGGGCGGGGCACGCACCGAAGTAGGCGGAGTTTGCCACGAGATTTATTGTCCGGAAGCAGTCCGGAGACCGAGAAAAAGAGGATAATGGTTGACGAAGAAAAAGAGGTTGAAAGCCGTCGATGATGGAGCGGATAGAATTTAGCTGAGAATTCAGATATTCGTGGTGTATCAAGCCAAATTTGAAAATTTTCGTCGCACCATCAAAATTCGCCGCAGATCTGTGTTGTGCGCGCAATGCGTGCGGCGCCAACTGGTGACAAATAGTTCAGAAATCTTGAAAATTTCTGGGCTACTTGTCGCCAAAGTTCTTCTTCGAGGAGAGTGATGGCAAAAGTGTGATCTATCAGGGTGCCCAAAAGTCCATGCACTTCTTTTGACATCACGGAACTTCATTTGGCTCTTTCAAAGTATGTTCAAGCAGGCCTCGGGGAGCGCATTCCGTGCAGTAACCTACAACCGAATCATGTCCAACCTAGCTACATTCTCAGAGTCCAAAAGGGGGAACGAAGAGAGCCATGTCTTTCGGCTTTGATTCATGATCTTCTACTGAGCCACAAAAAGGCCCAAGCCAGGACATTTGCTTTGCGAACATTTCCTGGTCACCGTCCATCACAGTATCAGACTCGGTAGATCTCCTTCGCTCAGAAGACCACAGCCTCGAAGAAACCCTTGCTCGTGAAGGCCATCCGTTTCAGATCTGTACCAGCTGCACTATCTCATTGCCATCACGCTAGGATGCTTCAGTTAGACAGTTGATAGAAGCCTGCCCACTTTGAAAAATTGTCGGAGTCGATGTCGTGCTTGTAAAGTCGATACCGTATTTTCAGAAGGTCGCCGGCCAGCTTGAAGCCGGCGACCTTCTGAAAGCACGACATCGACTCTACGGTGAGTCGTTGACAACAAGCCGGTAATAGTGAGCTCCATATATTGATGATGATAAAAATTTTTTGCACAATGTAGCGAAAAAAATGCTCAGAAGTGCACGAAGTTTTGGAACTATTGATGACTTTTGGGACTATGACTAGCCGATATTATTTCTCTTCATCAATCTATGCCACGCACCTGATCGTCTCCAGTTTTAACGTTGCCGTCGGTGGCAAACGAATATCCGACGCCGGCTGGAGCCTCCAGAGTGAGAATTGAAGCGTTCTTGTTCCATGAGTAATGGTTCATCCACAGTGTTGCTCCATCAGGATTAACCTTAATGTGGTTAGTGGATTATTCAAAAGTTTTTCAAAGGACATGTCCCTGCATAATTGATTGATTTGGTTTGCTGTGTTGTTTAGTCCTACAATGCAAAGCTAAACATTACCATGAATGGTCCCCATTCAGTCAGTAGTGCGGAAAGGCCGGAGCATCCTGGACCACCAGTCAGCCAGACGAGAACAGGATCGGTACTGGGATTGTTTTGAGATTCAACGAACCTGAAAATAGGAAGTGAATCGATGAAGCTCCATTCAGTTCCTTCAGAATGCGCATGGTTCATCCCTCCGTTTCGTAGTTTAGAGTGAATGGCCAAGTACCGCTCCTCTACTTCTGAGCAAGAGGTAGACCAGTCTCGAAAAGCAAAAGCCTCAGATGTAGCAAGCGGCGACTCCTGCTTCCATTTCTCAATCTTGCGGAAATGTCCTAGCTTTGAAAAAATGAAGGAAAGGAAAGATAAAGCCTATAAGCTGACCAGTAGTGCAGTTGATGGTTCTTTGCCGTTCCTACGGTGTAGTACCCGGAGTACTGTTTGAAATTAACAGGTGGCGCTCCGGGTAGATTGCTAATCAAAGCAGCAGAAACGCTGGAAAAACATGAACCTTTTCAATTTTTAGGATCAAGGAAAAAGTAAAAGAAGCAACCATTGGCTGACGAATGAAAGCAAAAGCACCCTCAGTAGTAGAGCCATCTGGCGAAGAACTGAATCAATGCGGAAAGATAGCAAGGCCATGATAACGCCAGGATCGCCATTTGTGCTATCACTTCACGAGCGTGTTCTGACGTCAGTAGAGCTTCAAAGTCATGTTTTAGGGGCATGCTCAAAGGGACAGGAAGTATTTCCTACTCAAGGGTAGAGGTCAAAACACTTGGTTCCTATTTATTGTGGCTTTCCGGGAAGAGCTACGCTCTTAACATCTGTTTGAATCTTGGTGGGATTTTGGATCCCATACAGGCCAACACAATGATTTGCCAGGGCCAGCCGATATGTAGTGTTTACAGCCAGTGCTTCTACAGGAACGGTTCGGCCTCCCATTACTGATAAAATGCGCGGGCCCGGCTTCGCGGCGATGGTATGGCACATTCTTCGCGGCAATGATGACAGTGTAAGGTCGGCCTCTATATACAGGGGTGGCCAAAAAAAAAGAGACACTTTGCCCATGGCGCACATCATCGAACTTTTCGTCGCACAGGGAGCCGATGTTAATGAAAGTTTTACGGCGAATATTAGGTGTTCCCCCGTAAACAGAAGCAGGCCCTCCTTCACTGCCCCCGCCGTCTTCAGAATATGACGTCATCTGCCGTCACCGTCGAGCTCAACGAGGCTTACCGTAATCGCTCCGGCCTGAAGCTGCTACATAATTTCTTCAATGGATTAACTGTGAATAGCTTCCCAGAGACATTAGCTGTGACTATGCAAAACCGCTTTTGACCAGCGTTTCAGGGACGTCGTAATGGTCTATGGTACCTCGACGACCTCGTTGAGCTCGTACCGTGAACCATGTTTCCGTGGGAAAATCTTCTGATGTCGTCGGTGTAGAAGGCTGTCATGTAACTTTAGATAGATTAGAATGTGCTCTTCAATACTGAGTTGGGGGCAGTCGATTTGATTTTAGCAAAGTGTGATTAATGCTGTCTGAAATGTGGAGTGAAGTGTCTCTTTTTTTGGCCACCCCTGTATACGGACGTGCTCGGAAAGCGGCCTAAGGGACGCCCAAAGCAGCACTGACTTGGCACTGCATGAGGACTTGAAGTTAAAGGAGGAATTCACGATAAGAACGAAGGTCAAAGAAGGGGAAATTGCATAGTTGGGAGACAGGCGGACCTCCTGAGGGTGCTGACCGACGCGCAATTGGCAGCGAAAGATTTGACCTCGGCGATCTAGCATGGCTCACTCTTGGCGCGGTTGGCGGGGTACGCCCACCGACTATCTAATCACTCGCCGCAGGTCGTGGCGAGTGATTAGATAGCAGAGAGAGCGTAGTGTTGAAGAGGGCACAGCGATGAGAGTCGCATCAATGCGCAAATCAACGGGCAAGGAAGGGGTCCCATTTCTCGGGTTTCGGGCCGTTTCAAATGGTTTCTTCTTCATCCCTGCTCCACTGACCACCTCTACCCTTATTTCCAATGAGCTAACTTTTCATCGTAAATTCTTTCCTTTTTCTTCCTTCAGAGTAAGATGAATGAGTAAATGTGTTTTTTAAGCGAGTCTGTTATCAGTTAGTTGACACGAAGATATTAGGTCCCAGATTTAAAGGACGAATTCACGATTAGAATGAAGGTCGAAGAAGGAGTAATTCACCTAGTTGAGGGACCCGCGGACCTCCTAAGGGTGCGGACTGAAGCGCAATTGGCACCGAAAGGAGTTGACCTCGGCGACCTATTAAGGCTCAATCTTGGCGCGGTGGCCAGTGCACGCCCACCGATCATCTGATCACTCGCCGCAGGTCTATACGTGGCGAGTGATTAGATAGGTGAGAGAGCGTAGTGTTGAAGAGGGCACAGCGATGAGAGTCGCATCAATGCTCAAATCGGGCAAGGAAGGGGTCCCATTTCTCGGGTTCTGGGCCGTTTCTCATGGTTCTTCCTTCTTTCGTGTACCACTCACCATCCCTAGGTTAATTTGAAATGGGTTGCTTTTTCATCGTGAATTCGTCCTTTAAAGCCATAGGTCGGGATCAGATGCCAAGAGGTACTCCCTACTAGAATGAGAAAAAGGAGTCCACAAGCCCAAAAGTTGCGACTTAAAAGCGCGCAACGAGAGCGCTAAGGCCCTGCCTTCTACGCTGACGGCAGTGCCACTCCATGAATCGCGGAAACCTCTGGCTTTTGCCCCTCTCGCGTACGCCATACACTCGCTCGTGTTTTCCCTCTCTCCGCAGCGCTGCGTCTCTCCATCATAGCACGGCCGTCTCACAAAGGAAATTTCAGTGTTTTTTATGGCGCTTTCCGTCCCCCCCCCCCACCTCACTCGCGTTCCTCATTTCGCTTCTTGCTTAATTTTCGACTGCAATAACATGAACTGCTCTACTCCCAATTGTGCTCGAGAGATCTTTGAAGCTACGAACTGCTCGATCTATATTCCTATGCCTCTTTAATTTTGTAAATATTGAACGGGATTTTGTGTTAGCTAAGAAGAAGAAGCAATTGCCAAAAAACAAGGATTTTTGGAGGACTTAACTTAGCAGGGGGAAGGACTTTAGGCAAAATGAAAATTATGAACGCATTCTGGAGACTTCCTCTCCTTCCTATACAGTTAGCCCTGGACCTGCACTGTTATAAGGGTGCATCCATACTAGGTCGTACGATCGTAACGATCGTACAGCGTTAGATACGTATCGATCGTCCATCCTCGGACACGTCGGATGATCGATACGCATCCAATGCAGTGCGATCGTTACGATAGGTCATGCGCCCTAATAGACGGGAACGCTTGTCGCGGTTTGGAATGCTTTGAGAACCCTACACTGCAATGCATTTCCTTTTTGGAATAGGCTCTTTAGGTCTATTCCAGTTAGGGGGCATCATGATGCAGTTTTCCAGAAAGCTAGGGTAACTCCGAGCCAGGGGGAGTGTAGCCAGTCTAGGGGGTGGGGGTGAGGGCAGTCACTTGACATGCGTGAAAAGCTGGAATGTTCGAGTTCACACTAGTTCGCCGAGAAGCTGCATCATGA